ATACGGTGTGTAGTATATGCCTCAAGGTATAAATGTATCTCCCTTCCTATAGAAATTCTATACGGTATGTAGTATATGCTGCAAAGTATAAATGTATAAAAGTAAAATATAAATGTATCTCCCTTCCTATAGAAATTCCATAGTGTAATATCCAATATAATTATAAAATTGAAAAGAACAAACCAATGAATATAGTAATAGAATAAAGGGGTTTAGAAGAAAGCAAAATGTATTGTGGAATCCCACTTATTAGGCTAGCAAGAAGGAAATCATTCAAATCAATGCTAGTAGTAGTCTTCATTGTCTAAGGCTCCTGAGCTGCTGCAAGATAGCTCAGTAACTGTCAGACCCCAAGGCAGCAAGCAGGCCGGTTCAAACAATGCTGCCTTTTATGCTGTTTTTCCATCCTCCCCCAGAGCACTGGGATTGGGGAGACCTCAGGGAAGGATCACAGTCGCTGGCCAGCTACACGGTCAATATGAAAGCAGTCCTTCCTCCCTCTTCCCCCTCCCTCTCCTTACTTTCTGTTTCCTGCAGGCAAGCCCAGCTTGAGCAGTAGCAATGTGTAGGGGGTGCATGTGCACCCCGAGAGTGCTGGGGCACCTCCTGAGAAGCAGCGCTCTCCACTTAGGTGATAGGCAGAGGGGCCTGGCAGGAGCACCTGGCAAGCACTGGCTGAGGAGTGGGGCGCCAGGTAAAGCACCACTGGCACTTCCAGGAGTGCCATTGGCTCTTCCTGGTTGGCATGATCGGCCACAAGGGGACCCGCCCCACAGTCGCTGACTGGCTGCTGGGGGGCACATGACCCCCCTGACTCAGGTGGCACCAGTCACCCGTGAGCTTGAGCTTCAAAATGTGAAATGTTTCGACTGCCCTCATTTCATTTTGAGGCTGTTCTGAAGCCCTTCATTTCATTTCAATTTTGCTGTTTCAAGCTTGAAACGAGTCAAAACAGCGTTGAAATGAAACAGCTGGCAAAATTTCACACAGCCCTAGTTTCCAGGCACTTCAGTTCCCAGCTGTAAAACAGAGGTAATAATGTGCCCATCCAACTCTCCATCATCCTTTTTCTGTCATTTCTATTTAGACTGCAAACTCTTTGGGACAAAGACCGTCTCTTACTACATGTATGTACAGAAACCAGCACAATGAGGACGCTCTCCCAGTTGGGGATTTTAGACACTACTGTACTACAATAATAAGAATAGAACTAAATGGAATAGCAGCTTAATTAATTAATTTCACTCTTATTTTTGTTATCCTTTAGAGAAACGCAGAATTCCCCAAAACAAAACCTACATTGCTTTTCAGATAATAGAAAGACGTATTTGATGAAACAATGATCACATTGGAAAGTGATGAAAAAATAAGTGTGAAGCCTGACAAAAAAAGGTTAACAAGAGCTGCCCAGAACTCTACACACAGTGACAGAAGAGAGAAGGAGTTCTAGCTGTCATTATACAACTGTCACTGTATCTTTGGGGACATAATTCAAGTATGAGCTGATGAACAAGAGAACAGCTAATGTGGATACTAGAAATAGAGAAATGAAAATTCTCAGTCTACGCTAAAAGCTTCACTTCAGCACAAGGCAAAATGATCTCAAAGCACAAAGCCTAGGAGAACCATTTCATTAACAGATCTGCAAGAGTGCCGTAACTGCCAAGAAATTTACCAAAATTTCCTCATTTTTGTGGGAAATTTTAGCGAAAGAAAAATCCTTATTTTTGTTTTCTGAGAGCTTGCATTTGTAATACTGTCAAATCTGAACGGCCAAATTATTATACAAAAGGATTTATAGAAATGGACAAAGTACAGCAGAGGGAAAACAAAGTTATTCACTGAACTGGGCAGTCTAGTGATATAGTAGAGAAATAAGCCTGATATTCTTTAAGAAGAAACCAAGAAGAAACCAAGAAGCAACCACTTTGAGGCATAACAAAAAGTTCTGAAGGGAACAGAGAAGAAAAATGCAACAAAAGGTTCAGGAGTCACTCTGACATTCAGTAACAAATGGCCAGGGAACTTGGGCTAAAAAAGACCAAAGCAATAATGGATTTTAGACAGAATATTTTTTTACCAAGAATGTAAAAGTGTATAGGATAAAATCACAAAGGCTGCAAAGTGAACAAGAAGTGCAAAGCATAAATCTTTAAAAGGATCTAGATAATTTGTTGTCGGATAAAAATAATGGAGGAAAGAAGAGGAGGAATAAGGGCTAATTAAAAAGTGAGGGCCAATAAACCCACTGCTGCCTAGTTCTTAGATTTGCACACATCTTACACCCTAAGTCTAACACAGTAGTGAGTTTAGGTGGCATCTACACGAGATGCTGACTGCGCAGTAGCCAAATAATACTGCTCAGTAGCACATCTCAGTGCTAATATGGACAGTGCTGATATGCTGCTGCACAGGATTATTACGCTACTGTGCAGACAGTGCAGTAGTATCACTTAAAGGACATTTGCCAGTGCTACTGTGCAGTAACTCCAGTTACTGCACATTTATTTAGTATTTGCTTATACAAGTACTAAATAAATGTGCAGTAACCACTGCACAGTAGCATCTCGTGTAGACACGCCTTTTGAAAAGGAGAAGGTTCCTTTCACTGGCAAAGCAGAATGCACTGATATCAGACTTTAGCAGGTATTTATCAGGAGATCCAGATGCTCTTCATCCAAGGGTACTGAGGGAATTGGCAGAGGTCATAGCAGGGCCCCTGGCACGGTTGTATGAGTGCTCATGATGCTCTGACCAGGTCCCAGAGGACTGGAAAAGGGCTAATGTGGTCCCCATTTACAAGAAAGGGAGAAAGAAGGACCCGGGTACCTATAGGCCAGTTAGTTTCACCTCGGTCCTTGGGAAGACCTTTGAGAAAATGATCAAGGAGCACATCTGCGGGGGCCCAGCATGGGAGGTAATGCTCAGGGGCAACCAACACGGGTTCATTGCAGGCAGATCTTGCCTGTCTAACCTTGTTTCCTTTTATGACCAGGTCACAAAGTTCTTGGATGCAAGCGTTGAGGTGGATGTTGTCTACCTGGACTTCAAGAAGGCCTTTCTCACCCCAGTCTCATAAAAAAACTAGGTGACTGTGGCATTGATGCCTACACAGTCAGATGGGTGGCAAATTGGCTCGATGGTCGCACCCAGAGAGTGGTGGTGGATGGGTTGTTTTTGACCTGGAGGGATGTGGGCAGTGGAGTTCCCCAGGGCTTGGTCCTCGGGCCTATGCTATTCAACATCTTTATCAGCAAGTTGGAGATGGGCATGGGAAGCACACTGTCCAAATTCGCTGATGACACAAAGATGTGGGGGTAAGTGGGCACACTGGAGGGGAGGGATAGAATCCAACTAGATCTGGACAGGTTACAGAGGTGGGCAGATGAGAATAGAAGGAATTCAATGCAGACAAGTGCAAGGTGCTGCATCTAGGGAGAAGGAACCAGCAACACACCTATAGGCTGGGGAGCACCCTTCTCAACAACACAGTGGCTGAACGGGATCTTGGAATCATTGTTGACTCCAGGATGAACATGAGCTGCCAACGTGAGGAAGCGGCCAGTAAGGCTAACCGCACCTTGTTGTGCATCTACAGATGCATCACTAGCAGGTCCAGGGAGGTGATCCTCCCCCTCTATGTGGCGTTGGTCAGGCCACAGTTGGAATACTGTGTCCAATTCTGGGCGCAGCACTTCAAGAGGGATGTGGCTAACCTTAAGAGGGTCCAGAGGAGGGCCACTTACATGGTCAGGAGGCAACAGGCCAGGCCCTATGAAGTTAGACTAAAGGGCCTGAATCTATTCACCCTCCACAAGATGGAGAGGGGATCTGGTGGCCATCTATAAAATCACCAGGGGGGACCAGTGGAAAATAGGTGAGGCTCTGTTCCCCCAGGCACCAGCTGGGATAACAAGGAATAACAGCCACACATTGATTGAGAGCAGGTTCAGGCTGGACATCAGGAGACATTACTTTATAGTTAGGGCTGCCAGGCTCTGGAATGGGCTCCCAAGGGAGGTGGTGCTCTCCCCTACCTTGGAGGTCTTCAAGAGAAGGTTGGATAGATATCTGGCTGGGGTATTATCATCCCAGCACTTGTTCCTGCCCAGGCCCTGGGGTGGGACTTGATGATTTGTTCAGGTCCCTTCTGATGCTAGAAACTATTAAACTATTTATAAATAGGCTTGCAGTCTCCCATTACAAATTAGCAGAAATCCACCATTCAGTTGCATTATATGCATCACGGTTTTTCCTCTAATCTCTGCAGTGCAAACAGTACCTTTCCATGAATTACAGTACAGATTGATTTTCAGTTCATTGAGAGAGTACTACTCATTTCTTTTCAAATATTTTTTACTGCATTTTCATATAAACCAATGCATAAAACAGCTTTTCTATACATAATAAGAGCAGCTGGAAGTAACCACTATAGTTAAGGTTGCAAAATTGTTTCCATTATAAAAATGCAGTATTTCATTCACTCTAACCTTTTTCAAAATTCACTA